CTCCCCAACTCATTCCTCGAGGCAAGTATTATCCTGATAGCAAAACCAGAGAAAGACCCAACCAAAAAGAGAACTACAGGCCAATCTTGTAATGAATACAGATGCAAAAATTCTCAATAAAATATCAGCAAGCAGAATTCAACAAATCATCAAGCAGATTATACACCACGACCAAGTGGGATTAATTCCAGGAATGCAAGGATGGTTCAATATATGCAAATCATTTTATGTAATACACCGTATCAATAGATCCAAAGACAAAAATTATGTGATTATCTTCATTGATGCAGAAAAAAACCTCTGACAAAGTCCAACACTCATATATGATATAAACCCTACAGAAAATAATAATAGATGTCCTTTGCCTCAAGCTGATCAAAGCCATCTATGAAAAGCAATGGCTAACACCATACTAAATGGTCAAAAGTTGAAAGCTTTCACTTTAAAATCAGGAACAAGACAAGGATATCCACTGTCACCACTTGTATTCTATATCGTTCTGGAAATATTAGCCAGAGCAATTAGACAAGAGAGAGAAATAAGGACAGGAAAGGAAAAAGTGAAATTATCATTATTTGCAGATGATATGATACACTACGTAAAAGACCCCAAACACTGCACCATATGGCTTATAGATTTAATAACCAAATTCAGTAGCATATCTGGATACAAAGTTACCACTCAAAAATCAGTAACATTCCTGTAAACAAACAACAAACAGACTGAGAGAGAAATTAGGGAAATCACACCTTTCACAATAGCATCTAAAAAGATGAAATACTTAGGAATTAATCTAACAGAAGTAAAAGATCTATATACAGTGAAAATAATAGTGCTCTGAAAAAAGAGATCAAAGGGGATATCAGAAAATGGTAAGATATTCCTTGCTCATGGATAGGAAGAACCAACATTGTGAAAATGCCCATGCTCCCAAAATTGTTATACAGACTCAATGCAATACCAATTAAAATACCATTAGTATACCTCACAGATCTGGGGAAAACATTCCTAAAGTTCTGGAACCAGAAGAGGCCTAAGTACCAAAAGGAATCCTGGGAAACAAAGGAAAGGCAAGAGGCATCACAATTCCTAACTTGAAATTATATTAGAATGCTACCGCGATAAAATCAGCATGGTACTGGTACAAAAACAGACCTGAAGATCAATGGAACAGATTACAAGATACAGACTCAACTACAAATATACTCAGTCACATTATCTTTGACAAAGGGGCCAAACATATTCACTAGAAGAAAGATAGCCTCTAACAAATGGTGCTGGAAGAACTGGCTTTCCACATGCCAAAGACTAAAACTAGACCCATGCCTTTCACCATGCACTAAATTAAAGTAAAAGTGGATCAAAGATTTAAATATTAAAACAGAAACACTAAATTTATTGGAAGAGAACTTAGGTAAAAATCTTGAAGATATAAGATAGGCAGAGAGTTCATGAACAAAAACCAAAACTACATGGGAAATACTTCAAAGAATCAACAACTGGGATCTCACCTTATTGAAAAGTTTTTGCACATGTAAAGAAATCACCAATAAAGTAAAAAGAAAAGCCATGAATTGGGAAAAAATTTTAGCCAACTGCCCCTCAGACAAAGGACTTCTATCTAGGACATATAAAGAATTTTTTAAAGCCAGGCCCCCAAATTCAAAGACCCAATCCAAAAATGGACATCTGAGATGAATACACACTTCACAAATGAAGAGATACTAATGGTGAATAAATACATGAAAAAATGTTCAACATCATTAGCCATTCAAGAAATGCAAATTAAAATAACACTGAGATTCCATCTCACCTCAGAAAGAATGACTATCATCAAGAAATCAACTCATAACAAATGCTGGAGAGGCTGTGGGGTGAAAGGAACCCTGCTCCACTGCTGCTGGGAGTGTAGATTGGTGAAACCACTGTGGAAATCAGTTTGGAGATTCCTCACAAAACTAGGATTGGAAGTCCCATTTAATCCAGCTATTCCCCTTCTGGGTATTTTTCCAGAAGAATTAAAGACATCATACCACAGCGATATATATGCACCCATGTTTATAGCAGCACAATTTGTTATAGCTAAATCTTGGAAACAACCCAGATGCCCATCCACTGAGGAATGGATAAAAAAGATGTGGTATTTTTATACAGTGGAGTATTACCCAGCTATTAGAAATGATAAACTCAAGGCTTTTGTAGGTAAATGCATGCAACTAGAGATCATACTCATAAGTGAAATCAATTGGACATGTGTAAACATCATATTATCTCCTTGGTGTAGGAACCTGAAAGACTAGGTAAAACTCAAAATGTACAATAGATGATAGGAAAGGGAAAGAAATTGCTCAAAGGAAGGAATGACTGGGATGAGGGAAAGAAGAGAAAAGAAACAAGGAAGGCAAATATGTGTATATATATATATATATATAGCTGTGATAACTGTATTGCTGATGTCTGATGGCATACTGAAATGAACAGTTAATGCTTACAATTTTTTATGTTCTGGTCGACTTTGCACGCTTGTGTCTGGTGGTCTGAGCAACTGATTTGAAGGTAACAATAAGCACTGGAATTACAATGGTGAACTCCTACCCTCTTGTCTAGTGAAACTCTGTATTATCTCTAATGTTTTATTGAAGAATTATTCTCTTATTCTCTTTAATGATCTGAGAAATCTTTCATTCTTACATCTGGTAATCTGAGCAATGTAGTTGAGGATAGCAATATGTAATGTGACAACCACTGTTGATTCATATTATTTTGTCTTTAGACCCTGTATCACTTTGTTGTTGCTTTGATTTGTTTATGTTTGTGATACTGGTATGTTGCTACTGTTCTATTTTTTTTGTTTGTTTTGCATTTACTACTCTCTTTAAAATTAAAAAAAGAAAATAAGATGACTGGTTTTAGAAGTAGAGAAAGGGATATATGACATAGCACAGTAAAGGAGGCCCCATTAACCAATGCTCCATCAGTAGATTTGGGCAATGAGTCATGTACTTTTGGAACAAGCAAGAGTGTAGGCAGGTTTTGTGGGTGGAGAAGTCACCAGGCTCCTCAGGAGTGTAGGGTCAGGGTCTCCTACCCAATTGGCCATTAACCTAACTTTCTCACTGCAAGGACATTCAAGGCACCTGGGTGAAAATCCCTGGCTCTACCTCAGGAAGCCTATAGATCTCCACAGTGATTAACTGGGCCTGGTACCAGGTAGCCTCCCTGGTTTCTGAGTTGGATTCTTGGCCTTCACCACCAGATCTATTTTAGGACTTTTACAAAAATTTTCGGATTCTCATTCCAAGTTACTTACTTTTAGATGACTTTAAAAATCACTAATTTTGGATGTAACATAGCTAAGCAATATGTTATTAGATATATGACATAAATATTTAAACTAGCTTCACTATATTGTCTACCAAATGGGCAAGCTTCTGGCACCTAGTAGCTGCTCAACAAATATTTGTTGAGTAGACAAATGTTTTTAAAGTAATCAGTATAGTCTGAATGTTTGTATCTACCCATAATACACATGTTGAAATCCTAGTCCTCAGTGTGATGATATTTGGAGAGGTAGGCTTTAGGAAGTAATTAGGTCATGAGGTGGAGACCCAATGAATTGGATTAGTGCCCTTAAACAAGAACCAGGAGAAACCTCTCCTCCTCCCCCCACCCCCGCTTTCTCTCACCAGAATCCAAAAATGGCTCCAATATTGGAAACTGTGAGAAATATTTTTTTCATTAAGCCACCCAATCTACGGCTTAGCCCACCAAGCAGACTAAGACTCCAAACTGCACATTGGTGTCTCCCTGTGTTAACATTTTGTCTCAGAAGATTTTGGCTTTTCCCCTGGGCATGAGGCTGCAGTGAGCTGTCAGTGCAGGGCCCTGGCTGCTCCATGTTTGTGTTGGCAGCTGGACCACCAACCCACATGCACGTCCTTCCTTCACTGTGCCACCCAGGGAGGTTCCACCCATTGACTGAAAGTCTGTTGTTCCAACTTCCAATATGCATTACAATTATTCCCATGTCACACTGCCTATTCTAATTTTTTAAATTTAATTTAGAGGAGATGAAAATTGAAAGCAAGAGTCAGTAGACATGGTTTTGGCTTCAGTTCATTCTCAACATAGATCAAATCTTTTTTATTAATACTTTAATTGAGACCTAATTAATATGCTGCAAAATTTACCCTTTTCAAGTGCACAGTTTGGTGTACTTAGTATATTCCCAAGTTTGTATGAACATCATCACTATCAAATTTTCAAACATTTTTATTATCACAAAAAGGAACCCCATTCCCATTTGCAGTCCCTCAGGTCTCAGCTCCTAGAACCATTGATCAACTTTCTGCAATTGTGGCTTTGCCAATTTGGGACATTTTGAATGAACAGAATCATAAAATATGTGTCTGATTTCTGGCACTTAGCATCATGTTTTTGAAGTTTGTTTATGCTGTAGTGTATGCCGTTATTTCATTCTTGTTTACTGCTACAATATGCCATTGATTGTATATATTACATTGTGTTCATCCTTTTATAAATTGATGGACATGTCCATTGTTTCTATCTTTGGGCTTTTAGAATAGTACTGTTACAAATGTCTGTGTGTAGGTTTTCTGTGTGGACACATGTTTTCAGTCCTCTTTAATGTAGACCTAGGAATGGAACTGCTGGATCGCATAGTGACTCTATATTTAACTTTTGAAGAATTGCCAGACTGTTTCTTAAAGCAATGAACCATTTAGACTGAGTCTTATGTATTCTATATCTACAGCTCTCGGCAACTCCCATCCTGCAGCACTCACTACATCTGGCTATGTGTACAATAGTTCCTCACCTGCAGGCCCACTTCCTAGATAGAGCAGGGACCTGAAGGGGACAATTGTGTCTTAGTAAGCTGTCATATTTACTTTGACATTCTCAGTTTCCTCACGTGTAAAATGGAAACAAATGACTGGAATTAATAGAAAACACCACTGAGAATGTTGTGCTTAATGAAAACATTTTGTTAGCACAGTCTAGAGGATGGCCCAAAGAAATTACTTGTATTTCTGAACAGGAGAAAGAGAAGAAAATCCTTACAATTTCCCTTTCACTCTTACCAATGTTGGATTTCTTTTCTATTTGCCCACTAATGACTTATGACTATGAGACTGCAGACTTGCTATACCATAAGAATTTATTTTCTCTTACACACTCAGACATGTTTTTCTTGTGAGTGCTCTTCCACAAGTTCTCTGGGAGCTCACTCTGCTCCGCTTCTGAGTCATGCACCATCGCTGCCATGTCTTCACCTTGGCCAGCACATCCTGCATTGCCTTGCTCTGCTCTCACAGATTCTCCATTTTTGCCTTGGACATGGCATTCCTTTCTTTCACTAACTGTTGCTCTTCTCTCCATTTCTGCTTTTCAATATTTTCCCTTCTTTTTGATCTAATAACTAAAATATAGAAATGATGGAACAGAAATGAAGACAAAGGGGTTGAGGTAAAAAACAAAAAAATAAAGGTACTATCCAAATGGTCAGTGGACAATGAATGCTATTTGTCTGACAAGGATGGTGAAAATTAAATTTTAAATTATTTTTCCACTTTCTTTATTCTAACCTTATAGATTCCCAGATTTTTTAAAATTAGAAAAGTTATATAATCCAATGTAATGAAAAGTCACTTTGATGAAGGCCACTTGCTTCAGTAAGTGCTAATTATCTTTGCTTCTCTTGGCCTCCCCACCACTTTCATGCTATACATATCTGGAATCATTAGTGGAAGCCCAAACAGAGGATGTTGGTATGTTGGATCAGACACTATACATGTTTTTCCCCTAGAATTTTGAGAAAGGTGTCCAAAAATCTCAGAGCTTTCACAAAATCTGGCTTTTGTGAGCACTTACATCATTATATACTCAAAAAGATATGTGGGCTCCTCTTACAGGTGTAGGATGGACCCTAGGGGTGATGTGGTCTCATCAGACCCTAGGGGCCTGGGTTCCATCTCTACATCAGAGAGGGGTAACTGGGGCATCTGCCCATCTGTGTTCTAAATACGCAGGCACTGCCACAGTAATAAGTGTGTTTAAGGGAAAGTTTCATTCTGGAAAAAATCTGTTTCCCAAACTCTATCTTAGAGGCTTGGAATAGCCCTGCATTAGGCACTAAGCAACCACAGCACTGCTCCTCTTCTATGTGACATGAAGAGAAAGACTGGCTTCTTAGATGTGGGCATAACTATTCATTTTTCTCACTTCAAACTCTATTAGCTCCCACTTATCCTTGCCTGTGACAACCAAACCATCTCTGTCAAGTGAGCCCTCTCGTGACCTTGGATCTGGCAGACATCCTGGTGGATCCCCTACCTGAGATGATGAATTTGCCCAGCTCCTTCTCATTCTCTGGAAGCAGGTGTGTAGATTCCTTGGGTCCGCTGAACCCAGAGCCCTCCTGGTCTGCTAACAGTGGAATCTGGACATTTTCATAAAGCAATGTGAGCTGTTGTCTTTCCTCTGCCTTTCCTATTTGACTGCAGAAGAATATAAATGAATTTAGAAGCACAGTTCTTACAGTGAATCATCATGTTTTAATCATGGGATTTTCTGACTGAAAAGGAGTTGTTTGTTGGTGGTGGTAGGTGGAGAAGAGAGGCATGTGTACACTTTCAAACCAGACTTGTCATAGGCAGATCTCAACATCTGAGGCTAACCAGCTGGTTACTGTGGTAAGAAACAACTCTGATAGTCCCAAAGTACAGGTCAAAGTCAGTACTAGGAGTGAATGGAGGGCTCATAGTGGGTATAAAATTTAAGGAGTTGAGAAAAAAATCCACAAACAAGATAAATTTCAGGGCAATATGTTATAAAATAAAAATTAATAGCAAGAAATCCATGATTAATAAAATGTCAACATTTTAAATAAATACAGGATAGGTGTCATGGATTTTTGTCTTTGCAGAGGCTCCAATACGGTGTGACTCAGTACTGCTAGTGATCCTGAGCTTAAAATGTTGTTATCTTGTTCACTGTGGATATTTTGAACCTTAATCTATACTTTAGAAAGTAATACATTAAAATGGTATTCATCTTGATTACTGAGTTTTTCAACATACGCTCTCTTAATTTTTGCTCCCGAAGTGTATACTTCTCTTTAGTTACTGCAGGTTCAATCCAATAATGGATCACTGAATGGCTATTTGTCTTCAAATTGGAAATGATGATAGTGTTTTACCTCTTCCTGACATCTTCCCAGCTCTGTGTGACTTGGGCAACAAAAGACACTTTTTGGATTAGCTTATTTGTGTCTTTAGGGGCAGCAATAGAGGAAAGGGGTGGGACATTCCAGAAACATGCTGTGACACAACAAGAACTGCTTGGTCATGATCATGATTAAAGACGATCAAATCAAAGTAGGCATGGTGATGCACACCTATAACCCTAGCACTTTGGAAGGCTGAGGCAGGAGGACTGCAAATTTGAGCCCAACCTGGACAACACAGACACTTAGTGAGACCCTGTCTCAAAATAAAAAGGGGCTGAGGATGTAGCTTAGTGCAGAAGCCTTAGGTTAAATCCCCAGTACCACAAACAAAATGCAGGTGTGTTTTTGCTCTTCAGTGCCTTCTGCATTACCATGTTTCAGCCTTGGAAGATTTTTCTTCTGCGTGAAGAACTACCTCTAGTGTTTATTTTATACCCCAAAAATTCTACCACTTGCACCTTTTGTAATAACAATGTGATTAACAAAACTACATGGGGCACAGAGGGTGAGTCACTGGCCTCCAGTGCTAAATGTAAAATAGTGCCTCAAACACCCAGGAATGAAGCTCAATATTTTCACTCAGTATTTTCAAAAAGTGAAATGAATGCAAAATAACCCATGATAAACCAAATATCAAAATGTTAAATAAAAGCATGCTGAATGTTAACCAAATATTCTTTTCCAAAACACTAAAGTTGAGAATCTATTTAAAATTTGAAAGCTGTGTAAGAAAAGCCATGATATTAAGTTTAAATAGTTTACCCAAATCAAAACCAGAATTAATTACCATTTTACTTTCCTGCTTTAAGTTAAACCAAATTCACCAATAGTGTTTTTAAAAATCTACTTCTGGAAAAGATAAACCACAAAAAAAAAAAATTGTGCACTTTGGGTCACATGCATTTTCTTTCACCTCAGGCTCTGGCACAGCCCAATGCAACACCTGTTAGGGTGGCACAGGGTGATGACCATGAGTGGACTGTAGGTCAGAAACTTGATGGAGCACTGATGTCCATGAGATGCATTTTAGTGAGTAATCTCATAAAACTTTAGATTGATTGTCTTTATTCTACAATAGTAAAATACACAGATGTTGCACCAATAGGAGTTAAGTCAATGTAGACTGTCATATTAGATAAACGAGAACCAAAGTGCAGTATATACTCATTACTAAAATTTCTCCCAGTAGAATTTGTGCTGGGTATAGGGCTGATCTTGGCCTCCGGATGCAGAGACTGGGACTGGTCTTAAAATGACAGTGTTCTGGATGTCCACTTCTCCTTACTGTGATTGTCTCTGTGATGCATAAAAATAAGTGAAGCATATAGAACTCCAAGTAACCATAACCAAAATAAATCTACACCAAGCCATATAATAATCAGGATTCCAGAAGTTCAGCATAAGAACAGAATACTAAAATCAGTTAGAGAAAAGAAACAAATCATCTATAAAGGAGAGTCCATCAGAAGGAGATTACAGGGCACATTAGGATGGAATTCCATGAACCTCTATTCCAATTGTCAGATTTTACAGTGAGAGAATGTGCTATAAAACCATGGTTGTTCTTTTTAAGCTCGGGTGTATCATCCTTCTTCATATTATCTGAAATTTTTTAAAAAGGAGAGAGAATTATCATGGGTATAAAGTGAACAACAGAGCAACTGCCAAAGAGCTTTCATTACTGTCATTTGTAAAATCTGACCAATTAAAGTGACTACTCATCATCACACACTTAGCCTTCTCTCACTTCCTGTTTCTCCCCAGTACAGGGTGAAGTGATTTTCTGATGGAGTCAAAAAATGTGCTGTGGTTCAGTGGAAACTTAGCTCAATGTGACACAAAACCCCTGGCCTATGAAACACCTAGGAGTGTAAAATGATTAACAGAAGATCTGAAGTGGGAGGTGTATCAGTATTCACCCTACTTCTCTGTCAACCTTCTTGTATACCTTCAGATTCTCACCATGAAATATTACAGATGAGAAAACAACATGGGTTGCCAATGCTTAGGTGTAATTAGAACTGAAAATTGGCCATGAGAGTGGGCATCAAAGGGGTCATTAGAGACTTGAGCAAAGGCAGCTTTAGCAGACTTGTGAGGACACAGGTTTAACTGAGGCAGCCCAAGAGAGGAAGAGAGAAAAGAGATAAGAGAGAGGGAGCTTTGGAAGCTCTCTTGAGGACCTACCCACAAAAGAGAGAGGAGAAATGGGTGCAGATCCTGAAGGAGGCTGAAGGATCAGGAGACGATTTGGGGGTAAGCTGAGAAAATTGTGAGAATGGGAATGAGATAGAAACCATGATACGACAGTCGGTCTGTTCAGGCTGTTATAACAAAGTACCGTAAACTTGATGGCTTATAAACAACAGAAAAGTATTCCTCACAGTTTTGGAGCTGAGAACTCCAAATTCAAGGTGCCACCAGTTTCAGTATGTGGTAAGGGCCCACTTCCTGTTCATCGATGTCCCATTATCAGTTCATAGTCAGTGCCTTCTAGCTATTTCCTCAGAAGAAGCAAGACAGCTCTCTAGGGCTTTTTGTTTGTTTGCTCATTTGTTTGTTTGATCTGAGATAGACTTTCACTGTTTTGCCCAGGCTGGTCTCAGACTTCTGCATTCAATTGGTCTTCCTGTCCCCACCCCTGGAATATCTAGGACCACAGGCACCTGCCTGGCTTCTAGGGCTTCTCTTCTAAGGGCAATAATCTCGTTCACGAGAACTCTGCCCCCATGACCTCAGCACCTCCCAAAGGCCTCACTCCCTAATACCATCACCCAGGGAATGCAGATTTGAGCACGTGAATGTAGTGGAGGATACACAAGCACTCAGAGCCAGAAGACAGGAAAGGAAGAATGTCCTTGAGTTGGGTTCCTCGGTCCACGTGCCCTCCTCACCCCAGCGCCAGATACTAGACTACTCTGGAAGCCTCTGTGCCCAACGACCACCAAACCTGTTCAACTAGCAAGCCTGATTACCCTGCCTTACCTGGTCTTTCTCAAAAAAAAATCAGAGTAAAGGCCCTTGCAGACAGAGAGAGAGAGGGAGAGAGAGAGATAGAAGGCACATCTGATGTGGTAGCAATCTTATGAGAGATGGCTTTCTGGTTTAGAGGACTCTAAATCAAGTGGTCTCAGGAAGCCCCAGAAGGGCCCAGGAGAAAAAGCCAAGAGTGGAGAAGCAGCTAAAAATAACACCTCAGGGCCAGGCATAGGACTGAGCATTCTGTGTATCCCCCAAAAGGAGCTTGAGCTCCATCCCCACCTGCGCTTTGTTGCCTATGACATCAGTCCATACAGCTGTGCTACTTCCTGATCTGCAGCATTACTTGCCCAGCCACCCACAGGGGTGCCCTGCAATAAGCTACAGAGAGTTGCTGTCTATTTTGTGTCCCCAGAGTGCCACACTAGGACAACCCTGGGAATGTCCACAGGTCCCACCACCCTCCCAGATCTCTTGACTGACCTTTATTCCTTGGCAAATTCATGGGCTTAGTCAGTATTCCAGCTAGAAGACCAGTGAAGGGGATCAAAGAGAAGAGACGGGTTTCAGACAGATTTAGACAAAACTTGGTATGACAAGGGAACAAACACACAGGTTCCAAGTAAATGTTAATCAATTTATCACAGTGCCTAGCAGAATATGTGAGTTAATCTGCAAAGGCATGGTGCTCTGTTTACACATGGTGGTTCCATTCATGACTATGGAAAAGAACCTAGTATATCTCGACTCTGAGTCGGGAAACCTACTTCCAGGTGCAGAACCTGGAGAGTGGGAGAGGTGCAGGGGGCTGTGCTCCCATCAGAAGGTCAGAGAGCCAGTGATGAGGCCAACAGTGGTGTCCTTCCCTCAGACACACATTAGGCAAAATCATACCAAACCACCAGCCTTTCCCTCATACAGAACAGGATTGTTTACACACTGTTATGGTTTGTGTCTAGATGTCCACCCAGAGTCTTATGCAGTCGTAGGGTTTCTTCAGAGGTGGCTGAATCTAGAGTGTGTGATTGATTTGTAGCGCAATGCTGGGATTAAGGGTGCTGAGATTAAGGGAGGGGTGATTGCTGGATCAGTCCACTAACTGGATTGGCATCACCCTAATCCTGGTAGACTAGATACAAATACAAGGGACAGAAAAAAAGCTTGTTCCCCCACCTCACCTTGCTGCTTTTGCTATCTTCTGCTGCCATAAACTGCCACCCCTCTGCCATGTGCCCCCCTGCCTTGGAGCCAGCCAATGATGGACTGAGACCTCTACAAACTGTGAACTAAATAGACCTTTCCTCCTTTAACTTTAGGGGTCAGGTATTTTGTCTCAGCAACAAGAAAAGTAACTAAGACATGTCACATATATGTCCTTGAAGGGTCTCCAGCCTTCAAAGATCATAAGGGTTGTCTCCAGTGTCCTCAATACATGGCTTCTTCTAGTTCTCAAGTTAAAAAAGAAAAAAGAACAGAAGATAAATGGTTTTGAAAGATGCCATGCACTGGCAAAGCATCTGCATCTGCATCTGCATGCACCCACTCTGCCTCCAAAACAAATGCCCCAGATTGCAGTTGAAGTCACACAGCATGTGCCTTTAATCTGGGCAGGAACAAGGCTTCTATGTGTGCTCACTGAAGTGAGGGGAAGAAGGAAAAGAAAGAGGCAATCCCCAACAAGAAATCACAACTTTCACAGAATGATAACATAGCATTTCATTTCCAAACAAATAAATATAGAGAGTCCACCAAAAATATCTGTATATACCCTTCAAGAAAATAAAAATAGGGCTTAGCGGCGCAGTGCCTGCTGGGCAAGCACAGGTCCTGAGTTCAATTCCCAGTATCAAAAAAAACAAAGAAAAATAGTATGATTTTTTCAACAGATGGTATTACCCTCATATGGGGCTGGAAGATGTCATATATGGCAGAAAACCAAGTACACTGTTGGCCCCAACAGAAGAAACTGAAAATGCATGTGCAGCAAACTCAATGACAAGATCACCCAAGCGGCTGTGTGCCATACATGTCTGAAAGCTGAAGGCCACCACTCTGAGCACCTCTTGTAATTGCAGAGGCCAAAGGTAACTTGTATTAATCTCACTACATCTCAATAAATTTAGTATGAAAATATTTATACAAATTTTTTCTTCTCCTGAAGTGTGTATGCATTTTTTGTCAGACTCTGCATTTTATCTGATTATATTTTTTGTGGTGCTAGAAACTGAACCCAAGGCCTTAGCACTGAGCTATGCTCCCAGCTCTTTTTCATGTTTTATTTTGAGACAAGGTCTCACTAAGTTACTAATTCGCCAGGCTGGCTTTAACTTTTGATTCTTCTGCTTCAACCTAACTGGGTTGGGATTATAGGCATGTGTCGCCACATCCAGCCTAATATCATACTTTGTGGGCCTTGCTACTAGCAAATACTCACTGCACCTTCACGCAAAAGAGAACCCACAGCTGCAGTTCTCATTTCGCTTAATGAGGAAACCAATGACTGACCTTTGGGTATCAAGGAAATCTTTAGAATCTCAGGAGATCTGATTACACAAAAGGACCTTCTGGGCTGTTTGATGATGTTTCTGAGTGTTTGTGACTGTTTATTGCCTAGAAGAAAATAACATTTGTAGCAATGAGATAATTACTCTTATTTATCCCCCCATAAAGTTTTTTTAATTCCCCTGAGTTAAGAAAACCAATTGTTAAGACTACCTGGTGAGCCTGTTGTTTTTCCAACAGAATGAAACCCATCTACATAAGGCAAGCACATACGAAGGGGGTATTCCAGTAAAAACAAAAACAGAAACATGAAAGAATGTTGAACTATGTTCATTGCTCTAAAGTGGTCAACCTTTTGTCATATAGATGAAAGGAAATGTTTATCCACAGTCCAAATCTGCCCTGTGTTTATCTGAGAAAATAGGAAGCTCTGTTCCCTATAGAATGTTTGGGTTCTGTGGAGCCACCAGTATGAGGTCAGCGAGTGTCACCACAGTGGAATCTTCCCTGAGTCCAGGCCAGCCAATGGGGAGATGGACAAGATAGGTGGTGCCCAAGCTGAGGCAGATTCATGAGACCAGTTTCCTGCTGCCAAGGCCTGTGCAGATGAGAGGGGGAAGAGAGTGAGACTCACGGTAAGAAGACAACAGGCAGCAGGGTTATGTCAGGGGCTGGGTCAGGTCAAAATGTCTGGATTTTAAGCTTCATCCCTGGTTTCCTCCATGTTTGAGCTTGATCAAGTCACTTAACTTCTCCACGCTTCAGTTTCCTAATGTATAAAATGTCAGGAAAAAATAGTACCAACTCCATGGGGTTATGATGATAAAAAAAATGTAATCTATGCATAGCTCAAAAAAAATAATTAATTCTAAATAGACATCACTGCTTTTTACAACACTGGATAGTGTCAATATTTGCAGTAAAGCAACTCCGTGCATAACTTCCCAACCTCTAGGGACTTCAGAGACCTAGAAATCACGAATTTGATATGCAAAAGAAGCCACATATTAATTTTTAATATTTTAAAAATTATACACTGTATGTGCACTGGTTAATCTTGATTATCAGATTGATTGGATTAAGAGATTCCTGGAGAGATGGCTGGATTGGCAGGGCACTGACCTCAAGGTGAGTTACTCCACTGATGATATCATCCCTGGATGGGATTTTAGGAAGTAGAGCCTGATGGAGGAAGTAGGTCGTGGAACCATGACCTTGGGGGCTGCACTGGTATCTGTTCCCTTCCTCGCTGGCTCTTCCCCTGCTCTCTGCTTCCTGGATGCCATGAGTTGAGCAGCTTTCCTCCACCATACCCTTCTGCCTTGGAGCCAGCAGACCGTGGAATCTCTGAAACCTCTGAATCTGTGAGCTAAATAAACCTCTCTTCCTCTAAGCTGCACGTGTCAGGTATTTGGTCTCAGAGACAGAAAAGCAGATCAGTAGAGAAGACAACCCCACTTCCTTTTGGATTGAAACACTGCAAGTGGATCTAATCAGAAATTATCAAGAAAGGAGACAAGAGGAACATCAGCAAACATCTCACACTTGGGATAAGTGGGAAAGTTCTGTCTTCATGCCAGAAGTCTTTTTCCCTGCTCATGCAACCACTAGGTCCAAGTAGATTCTAGAAAGACAGGAATAACAGAACAATACACTAGAAAAATGTATGCATGCATGCAATGTATTCAGATGCCAACTCCCTGAGAGCTTATTGTCACACTACACTAATCACGCTGCCTTGAGAGGTGGTCAGATCCGCAGATACAGAAACACAGTCCACTTCTCTGGGCTTTTGTAGATTAACGATGTAAAACAAGTTCAGTCAAGATAAGCTGTATTTATTTACAGAATGTCTTGTTATTTATTAGTCAGGTATAGTTTTTAACACAAAACTAAATTAGGATGGTGGCAAGCAGAAGTCCATGCTGAGGTGCACTAGCTGGGCCACTTGGGGCCGCATGGAATGTGGTGTGTGCCTTTTCCTGGGTGTGAAGGCTGTGAAGCTGAGGTGACAAGATGCAGGAGTCCCTGTCATGGGTTTTATAGAAACACAAAAATTATTTTCAGAACTGTCACTAGGAAACACCCTCCCAAACTGCAGGAGACATCTTTTTGCTAACCCATGTTCTATTTCAGGCCAGGTGCCTGCCCAGCAGCCATAGAGACAGCTGAGACCTCAACGGCTGATGGAAAACCAAATGCAGGACACACCCGGGTAAAATTAGTTTCAGCCTTTAAGAATCCCATATGGATCTGCTCTTCACCCCAGGCTCATCACCTTCTGCATGGAGCAGGCTGTGCCCTGCCCTTTCTCACCACTGTATGTAACAGTAGCTCCCAGACTGTGCCCAGCCCTGTGACTCTGCTTCATCAAGCAGTAGTTTGGTCCATTTGGAGCGCAGGCACCAGGCCAAACTGACTTGGTAACTTGTCTGTGTTAACAGACAACCATGAGATAGATGCTGGACACACCAGACTTCTCAAAAAGAACCACCCTTGGCTGCATAGCACAATCCTAAGGGATAAACTGATAAATGAAGTATGTTAATAAGAAGTCACCACAGGTGAAATTATCAAATTACATTGAGAGGTACATGAAGTACCAATGCCACATCAGAGAAACCAGGCTCATGAGCTCATCAGACACACCAGCTGACCCCTCACCTGGATCCTATGAATGGATAGACACTCAACTCGGCACAGTTGTTCACACCTACCACCATCTTATCACACCACCTAATGAATGCATCCAGTATTAACAGCAAAGAACTCTGACTCTGTCCCTTCTGCCCATGTAAGGGTAGCCTCTCTGCCCAGACTTGTGGGTTGTGAGCAGCTCTGCTCAGCTGCGATCTTATCTGGCCACCTGTGGGGACTTCTGCGTCTCCATGGCTCCCTGATTGGTTTTTAGTTGTTTCCAAGTCCTATGGCCCCACTAATCCTTTCTTACCCATTGTGCAACCTTTATACTATTGTGCAAAGTATGACACTGACTTGAGCGCTGTAGACGTTATTAATTAAGATTGGAATGGAATTGTGATTGCCTTGCTTGCAACTCCAAGTGGAATTAAGAATATTCAGTGAGTTGAAGCCAACAAAATGGATATAGTGTTACTAGAGTTTCAGGGCAAAGGCACCAGTTTCAGGGGTCCCAGCAGACCAAGCTGGGCCACCTGTCCCACGACACCAATCAAGGGAAAGAGCAGTGTGGCCATGCAGAGAAGGACAGAGGAAGAGGCCCCATATTCATCTTTAAGAGGCTGACAGAAACACTGGGGTCTTACAGAAAAGGGCAGCAAAGGCAAGGTTTGGGAGTTTACACAGCTGGCAGGGTTGGTAATGCTGGTCAAGCTCTGGTCTAGTTGGTGGTTATCTCCCAACCGGTTCTGCAAGGTGGCTGTTCTGAGGTCCTTGTCGCTGCAAGTGACAACCCATTTCCCCTGAGATGACTGCTCCTACTTGGGACAGGAAGTGCTCAACACAGCTTGGTCAGCAAGGCTGTTTCTCCTGAACTCTCAGGCTGCAGGTTTAGGGAATCAAATAGGTATCCCTCCAAGGGGTCTGGATAGGAGGCTGTGAATGAAGGTGGTAACTGAATGTCATGAAAATCTTGCTCTGTCTTGGAGGCAGATGAGGCTGACTTGGTAAATTTAAGGCTTTATTGCCAGTTTTTAGACAGACAGTACTTAAACGATTAGCTTGTCTGTGTGCAGAGTTGAGCAGGGCTCTGATCCAGAGTTTTAAGGTAAAAAAGGAGACAGATTCAGAATGAAGCAGAAATGCCAGCTCCATCCTGCTTTCAGTCACCCAGAGGGCACCTGTGGGCCTAAGTTCTTCTCCAGTAGCTTGTGAATTTATTGCTTTTCCATAAACTCTTACATTGTGTCGGGTGGTGTGGATGGCATAGCTCATTCATGCCACCATATTACCATAACATGGCACACCAAAAAGCTTCCTGCCACCCCTGCCCATTTTGCTTCTGATGCAGACTAGACCTGGTTCATGTAAGGATTAAAGGAAGGTAGAACCTCATCTGTGGATGGACCCACCTGCTCCCCAGAAAGTCAGGAATAAACTCCTCCTGATCATTAACAAAATTCTTCCCCTCTCTCCCCTTAATTTTATTTTCAGTACTGGAGATTGAACCTGGGGCCTTTTTACTAAGCTACATTCCCAGCCCCTTTTTAAAAATTTTGATACAGGCTCTCACTAAGCTGCCCAAGCTGAGTTCAAACTTGGGATGCTCCTGCCTCAGCCTTACAAAGCACTGAGATTACAGGTGTGTACCATCATACCCAGTTTCTCCCCTTACCCTTAAAAGGGGCCCCCGTCCTTTGTTTGGATGGAAGTTATTTCTCCCTACATCTTATTCTCTGTTCAAAGAACAACTTTCCTTTATGCTTAATAGCTGGTTTTATAATGGTTCCATGATTCCAAGGAAAAAGAACCAATTTGGGTCAGAAATTATACAATGTATAACTTGAGATAGAAACAGGGTAGAGAATCTCCACAGCTGTTTACACTTCATAATTGCCTACTACACACCCTTCTGCCTCACCCACTGTGAAGGCTGCCCATGGCTCTGCCTCCTTCTCCCATCACTGCCAAACCCCTTGCCCTAACCTGTGGCCTTCTCCTCTGCCCTTCACTTCAGCAAGCTGGGAAGAATCTCCTCAGCATGGGAAGGAGTCTGGGGACTGAGTTCAGGGGCTAGGGCCTCAGTCTCCCTGGGGCCCCTGTGGGCAGCTAATATCTGCTGATCTACAGACAGCAGCCTCCAAGCTCCATAGCTTTAACCACGATTAAGCCAAGACAGGGGGCGTACTGAGCTCCTCCTTGTTGCTCTTGCCTCCTGCGGGAAAAGGTGCCTTGAGTATGGCTCGATGACATCCAAGGACCAAGTCCTACTGCTGCCAGAATGGGGTCTAGTGATGTCAAGGCCACCATGGTCTCCACACCAGGTGTCATGCATTGTCCTACACATGGCCCCTGCTGGTCCTCATCTGCTGCATCCAGGGAGCCTGAGAAAAGCAAAAGCCATAGTATTCCTCCTGGGGAAGATGCTCAGCAGCTCCCAGGATCCAGAATATCTCAATGCAGAAGTGGTTTCTGTATGCTGCAGCCAACCTCTACCAAACCAAAGACAAAACAAGCTTCGAAGGAACAGAGGACCACTGCAACAGGAAACACTCTCCGATTAAAAAGTTCACAACACTCAGGGGAAAGGAATTTTAATTCATGTAGGGAAGTTAAAGGCTAGAGAGCAACAGGAATGTGATGGTCCATGGGAGCATCAGAGCAGGAGAAAGATGCTTGCTTCTCCCAGGGGTCTGTGGGGAGGTGGGAAGCTTAAATTCATGTCTAGTCAAGAAGTGGGCATCATAATTGTGAGATACAGTGAAACGCAGGCATGTACATTCTCAGAAATATAATTCAGTTCCAGGCATTATCTAGATAAACTGCAAGTGCTTTCCTCAATTCCCATGCTAGAATCCTTTTCAACTATCGAGAGAGGAAATTCACAGATACCTACAAGGAAAGAGCTCTTGCTCTGCATGTAAAAACTAGAACCCAAAAGAAAATTGGAAGTGAAGCTCTTTAGAAATTGTTCCTATAAGTGACAACATATGAGGAAAATCAAAATCATGATTGCTGAGCACAGAAGCATAGACCTGTAACCCCAGTACTAAGAAAGCTGAGGTAGGAGATCAGGACTTCGAGGCCAGCCTCAGTAACACAGTGAGACTGTCTCAATATTTAAAAAGGGCTGACAATGTAGTTCAGTGCTCCCTGGGTTTAATCCTCTGAACCACAAAACTTTGTATTATGTATTTTTATGTACAAAGGCTGATAAAAACATATAGTGTAAAAATTTACTACAGTAAAAGACTCACTGAAAAATTCCTTGCCCTTTTCCTGAACACACTTATCCCACAGTTCTTGCCACTTTCTGAAGCAGTTGTGAAAGTCCTCTTTTGTGTCTTTTCATGGCTGTCTCAGTGTTCCGAATCTATTCAAACATTTAGAGCAACTTCTGTGAAATAAAAACATTATGGTATGTCCTCATCCACCTTATGCACCAGATCTGGCACTGTGTGACTTCTGGCTCTTCCCCAAGGTCAAAATGACCATAAGAGGGAAACATTTTTAACCAGATGGAGCCACACGGACATTGTTCAGCTAGTCACTTATGAGGCAAAGTGAAGATTTGCAGATTTGCAGATCTGTATCTGGCCTCATCTTAGGTAGAGGAAGACTCCTCTTGAGTTGACACTCATCTGTCCTGGAAGAAGGGTAGCCCACTGCAGGGAGCCATTCCGGGACACAAAGGTTGCAGCAATCACTCAGCTGTGGCCTTCCACAGCAGCATGGGCTTACCTCTCACATGCAGGGCTCATGTCCTCTTTCTCCCAGAAGCCTTCACAGTCACTCCTAGAGCTGCTGTTCTGGGTCACATGCAGCTTCAGGGTCAGTGCAGCAGCTGCAGCTGGCCCTGCCCAAGGTGGAACCCTTATTACCCTAATCCACCCAGCTCCCTTCCTTGGGTGGAGTCAAACCTTAGCAAGTACAAGATGTCTGCCCACAGGACAGGAATCTCTGGAGCATGCCTGGAACACACAACTTTGAATTCAGGGGATTGAGGTGCAGAGTTCCAAGAGAATTTTAGAATCTGGAATTTGGGAAGCACAGCCAAGTTTGGTGGTTTCTGGCTGGAAAATGGAGCAGGTCCCCAATTCTCAATGAGGTGGGTCTTTTTTGGAACACAAATCTCTCTGCTCCTCCTCCTCCTCACTGAGGAGCACCCACCATGGACTCCCTGCTTGTGTGTCCACTGCCCTGCCCAGGAACTCTCCTCTGCAACATCACGAAGCATGGCTACTATGGTGCCTCTCACCTCTGCACACAGAGTCAGGCTAACTGGCCTCTGTGCTTGTGACTCAATTCCTCCCACACTGGTCAATCTTCCTAAAACTGCACCCCCTACCCCAGCACCTCCCCATGGTCCAGAGGCCCAGAAGCAGAACTCAGGAGCCCCCAACCTGAGGTCAGACTGCTTTGAGTTAATCAAAAACCCTGTCACCCAGGCCTGCTGGTGCACACTTCTAAGCCTAGCTACTTGGGAGACTGAGGCAGGAGGATCACCCATTTCAGCCCAGGCCTAGGCAACTTAACAAGACCCTATCTCAAAAAATAAAAAGGGCTGAAGATGTAGCTCAGTGTTAAGCCCTAGTGCCACAAAAAAGAAAAAGGAAAAAATGCAGGTAAAAATCTCTTAACACACTTAATGAGATAAGGTATGAATTAGCAATAGGAAATGACAGTATAAACACATAAAAATAACCAACCAGGAGGAGTATTAGGCTTGTAAAACAATTAGTGAAATAAAAATAAACAGAAGAAAACGTAGCAAAACAATTACAGCTGAGGAACAAATCAGCAAACAGGAAGAGCAGATTTAGGGAATGTCCACACAATGTAAAGAAAGGAAATCAAAAAACAAAAGTGAAGAAATATAAACAGAAATGGGCATGCTAACATCTGAGTAACAGGAACCCTAAAAAGAAACTTCCAAAATGAAAAAAACAAAAATATTGACAGAGAAATTCCCCAGAATACAAAACAGATTAAATTGAACCTAGAAGAGGGGAGGTAGAAAGAGGAAAGGGTGTGATGGAGCTGCTGAGCACCTCTCTCTTCCCAGTGAACAGTGACAGCTGGGGTGATTTCGGCAAGTCTTCTGGGCTCTGGAGCCCTCGGGGCTATGAGCAGTGAAAATCTGGGAAACACAGGACCCGGAAAACCAGTGACTCAGAATGTCCAGTTCAGACTTCTTCCCATTCCAAAGGGATCTTAGCTCTCGCTACCAGAAACCCTTGAAGACACAGAAGCCAGGTAAAGCTTCTCACCACTTAAGATTTTCTTGAATTTTATTATCAAATCTCTACTATACAAACAATGAACAAAAAAAGGGAAAACATTTGGGAAATGTATCACTGGAGAGTCAGGATGACAGTGGTTAAAAACATGTCCTATGGAACCACATAGGATCAGTTCTACTGCTGATTAGCAGGGGTCCTGGGGCAGGTATCCTGCTTTTGCCACTTCAGTCTCCCCATTCATAAACCCCGGGATGGTAACAGTACCTACTTAATACAATTAAGGGAACTGAACAAACTAACATTTGAAAAACATTTAAAACAAAGCCTAGCACATGGTAAGTGCTATACTAGTGAAACAAAACAAAACCTTAAAGTAACTGGGTTAATTTCTCCATGAATCTATCAGATCCTTACCCCTACACTTTTTAGGTCTCCTGTAGTAGATATGGGCACACAATTCTGTGTCCTTTTTATTCCTTCATGTTATGTATACTGATGCAGTGTCCACAAATACTGTATAATTTATAGTGACTGCCTTAGAAGTTAGACTAACTGTCCAACAATGCAGTAATAAGCACACAAAAGACAATGACAGTTTGGGTGATTCAGTGTCACCTCTGTGCCAATGTCAGCTTCAGGCTTCTACAACCTTTCCACCATTAGTAATCTCACTGACTATTTCCTAAGGAGGTTAATCTTGATCAAGAGTAAATACCCCATTCAATACCATACTATTTTCTTCCTTAATTTCCAATTTAGTGTTTCTTATTCTAGCACCTAGACCTTCCTCTTGTAATAGTAAAATCTATCTGCATCTCTAAAATTATGCACAAAATGTGAATGTCTCCATCCAGTACTCTGGCCTGATGAAAAACTACTTCCAGTCATAGGGTTTTGCCTCAGTGACACACACTGATCTACCTATAAAATCATTAAGAGTTTGTGCTGAAAGAGTAACCCCCTCACTCCCAAGTCATGCTACTTAGGTAGGGATTCCAGGAGGCCACAGGTGTTTGTTTCTTCTCTAACTGATGTTGAATGAGGGCTATAAAACTGCTGTAAGCTTTTACCTATTAATTTCACTTCTAAGTTTCATACTGAATCATAGACAGTGTACAAACTCTTAATTTAAAATTTTCCCTCTTGCTTATATTATCTTCAATGTCATCAAATGTACAATAAAAGAAAACTCCGATCAGTTCAAGGGCAGTTTCCCCTCACTGTGACTCCTCTGGTGCTGAAGCAGGGCTGAGTGACCACTGAAGGCTCTTCCACAGTCACTGCATATGAAGCGCTTCTGTCCAGTATGCATTCTCTGATGAATAATAAGGGATGAGTTCTTACAGAAAGCCTTTTCACAATGATTACATTTGTAGGGTTTTTCTCCAGTATGGTTTCTCAGGTGCACAATAAGGGAAGAACTCTCATTAAATGCTTTCCCACATTCATTACACCTATATGGTTTCTCTCCAGTATGAGTTCTCCGATGTGCAATAAGGTGAGAGCTACAGTTAAAGGACCTCTCACACTGATTACATTTATAGGGTTTCTCACCAGTGTGGATTCTCCGATGAGCAACTAGGTGACAGCTCTGACTAAAAGATTTCCCACATTTATTGCATTCATACGGTTTCTCTCCAGTATGAGTCCTTTGATGCCTAACAAGGTGAGCCATCTGGCTACAAGATTTTCCACATTTATTACATTCATAGGGTTTAATTCCAGAATGAATGATTTCATGTTTGGTGAGGGCTGAGCGTTCTCTGAATGCTTTGCCACATTCCTGGCAATTGTAAGGTTTCTCTCCTGTGTGAGTTCTCTGGTGAGCAATGAGATGGGAGCTCCAGCTGAAGGATTTTCCACACTCTGTACACTTATAGGGTTTTGCTCCAGAATGAGTCCTTTCATGTTTACTAAGAGCAGAGTAATCCCGAAAAGCCTTTTCACATTCATCACATTTAAAGGGTTTCTCTCCTGTGTGCATTCTCATGTGAGCAATGAGATGGGAACTCCAGCTGAATGACTTCCCACATTCTCTACATTCAAATGGTTTCTCTCCAGTATGAGTTCTCTGGTGGCCAATGAGATGGGAGTTCCAGTTGAAGGACTTCCCACACTCATTACACACATAAGGCTTTTCTCCTGTATGAATTCTCTTGTGTACAATCAGATGAGAATTCCAGCTGAAAGCTTTCCCACATTTGTTACATTCATAGGGTTTTATTCCAGTGTGAGTCCGTTCATGTTTGGTAAGGGCTGAACGATTCCTAAAAACTTTTCCACATTTATCACATTCATAGGGTTTCTCTCCAGTATGAGTTTTGTTATGTTGAATAAGGTAAGAGCTCCAGATGAAAGATGTGCCACATTCATTATACTCATAGGGCTTCTCTGCAGTGTACGTACTTGTGTGTTGAGAAAGGAAAGAGTCATATCCAAAGACTTTCTCCCACTCATTGTATTTATATGCTTTCTCTACAGTACCAATTTTTTGACGTTCCATAAAGGATGAGAAGTAAAAGATATCTTCATATTCTTTGTAATCATACTGATTTTCTCCAATATGAAGTCTTGGGTGTTCATTAAATGATGGACTTTGGTTAAAAAATTGATGGCATTCCTTATATTCATATAGTTTTTCCCCTGCATGTATTCCTTTATGATCACCAAAATGTATGACATTATTCAAGGATTTCATACCATCAGTACATATAAAAAGATCATCTCCAGTCTGCATTCTTATAGGATGAACAGGCTGAATGGACTGGTTAAATGCTTTGCCATTATTATTATTATTGTCACAGGTGATTTTATCTGCATACATTATGGCTGAATTGAATCTCCAACTTTCCGCCTGTGTGTCAGGTTTATAAAAATGTTCTAATTGGGAAACTTTCTGAGATGGAAAAAATTTTAAGCTCTCGCTATACTCTGCCCCAAGTTCACAGTATTCAGAACCTCTTTGAGACAGTATTTGTTTTTGCATGAAGAACATTTGCGTCATAGCTGTACTCTGGTTCATGTGGTACATTTCTAATTGGTCTTTATATCCCAAAACTCCTAATCTGGAGAACCAAGAATCATCCCATTGGCATCTTCCCAACTTCATGCCATAGGGTTGTTCTTCCTCAAAAATACTCTGTGCTGAGATCAGTGCTTTCCTTTCAAGATTTCTCATCCACTCTGAAACAAGACAGAAAACAGCTATATGAACACAAAGACCTCAAGAAAAAGCAGGAAGGATGAGATTTACATCCCATATTATTGAAAAGACAAGAGTGAACTTTATCCAAGCACAGACTTGGGAGCCAGATAATATCATAAACGAGAACAGTGAAAAGTGAACTACAGATAACCTGAATACAAAGTGTATACTGAGTACAAATAAAACCACTGAACAGTACTTTCCCATGGAAAGGATGGTGGGCAGTAAAGAGTTAACTACGCAGGAGTGCGTTGCTCCAGCCTTATAAATTACCAAGCTGGCCTATTTTAGAACTGGTCCTCAGCCAATGCCTAGGAACTGAGACCTTGAAATGTTCTAACTAGTAAGAGAGCTTTGTATGCTCATGGTCTTAAAGTACACTGTACCAATTTCTCTAGATAGTTTATGCAAACACTACCATTTACAGTGAAAATGTGCTTTCTTTCTGGGGCATTCAGTGATCTAAGTCAGTCACTTAAGCACTGTGTGCTTGTACGACAAATCCCATGAACACCCTGGTGTCCTGGCCTCAAGCAGGTTTTCTAGCAGACTTCAGATATGATGTCCCAAGTCCTTGCTGAGGTAAGTAGATGTGTCCTGTGCAAACCACTGGGAAAGAAGGGACAGAAATCAGCACCTGGTTTCCTCTGGATGGACCTTCTTCACCTTCCCTTCACTGATGTTGTGAGGCATCCTTTCACTGTAATGACCTATAGTCTTGAGCTCAATTGATCCTGTGATCAACTCTCCCTAGTAAGTCACTGAACCCAGGGTGGTCATGAGGACCTCTGACAAAAGGATACAGTGAGTGCTGTTAAGGTTAAAAGTGAGAAATAACTATTAACAGGAGGTCCTTAGTGAGTAATGTTTAAATCATTAAATATTGACACTTCTGTGTATGTCTTCTCACTTTTCATCTTGATACCTGCCTGAAAAAACGAAAGAGTAGGGTTCAGAGAAAACATCACCAAGCAAGGCTTCAAGTCAGGATGTCATCTACAATACAATGCTGTTACACTGCTCCCTGTTCTACACAGTCCAGTCAAGGACACAACATCTGCCAGCTCAAAGGGTGGCAGATCACTATGGCTTAAGGATACTCCTGAGATTACTTTTCTGCTCAGGTTACAGTTCTTCTAATGAATTATTTTTTTCTTTAATTTTAAAGTAGGGTCTTGCCAGGCATGGTGGCACATGCCCGTTATCCCAACACTTGGGAGGCTGAGCCAGGAGGATTTTTTAAGGCCAGCCTGGGCTACATAGTGAGTTCAAGGCCAGCCTGGACTACATAGTAAGACTCTGTCTCAAAACAAACAAACAAACAAATAAAATATAAATAAATAAAAACTTGCTAAGTCACTAAGTTGCATAGGCTATGCTTGGATTTGCAATCCTCTCACTTCAGCCTCCTGAGATTACTGGCATGTGTCACTACACTCAGCTCAGAATCACTTTATACCAATTACACAACAGATGGACTGGAAACCAGACATGGTGTCACATACCTATAAAGTCACACTACAAGGTTGAAGCAGGAGGATGGCAAGTTCAAGTGTAGCATGGGCAACTTAGCAGGATCCTGTCTCATAATTAAAAGATCAAAAAGGGCTGAGGATATAGCTTAGTGTAAAACCCCTTGTTTCAAACCCCAGTACTACAAAAAAAAGTCATAAGAGTTATCACCCAATCACATACACTAAAATGCTGGCTTTGCCATTATCCTAAATGGACTATTGTCATGATTGAAGGAGACCTTGGAAGTGTGTGTGTGTGTGTGTGTGTGTGTGTGTGTGTGTGTGTGAGTCAGAAAGAGAGACAGAGAGACAGAGACACACACACACAGAGAAAAATTATTGCTGATGTATCTATCCTCCAAAAATTGAAAGAGTGTATTAGCTTCCTATGCTACTGCAGCAAGTACCACATTAACTTAGTACCTTACAATAACACAAAATTACTTTCTTACAGTTCTAGAAGTCAGAAACCTAAAAAGGCTTTTTCTGGGCTACAAGGAAGCTGTCAGCAGAGTGTACTCTCTCCAGAGGTTCCAGGGGAGACCCATCCCATTGCTTTCTTGCACTCTCTGGCTAACTGCTCTCACCTCCCTCCTTAGGGCGTAACATTCAACCTCAGACTCCATCACCACCCCTGCCTCTGTCTCTCCTTACTGCCTCATTCTTACAAAGACCTTTGTGATTACATTTAGAATCTACCCAGATAAGCCAGGATCTTCCTTTCACCTCAAGATCTTTAATTTATTTACATCTGAAAACCTCTGTCTGCCATATAAGGCACTATTTTCATAAACTGGAGATTAAGGTGTGGATGTCTAGGGGAACAGGAGTCATTGTTTAGCCTCCCACAGGTCTAAAGCCCTGGGTACCAAACAGGTATCCTTTGTTCTCTATCTCTATCTTCTCTCTTCACTGTGTACCATTTTCCCCCTTTTATCACCTAAGCCCATATAACAGAGGCTGTACTTTGCTCAAAAACTGACATCACGAATTTCAAACTTAGCTCCAAAAAGTTAGTAAATAATCATGTAGCTTCCAGGAGAAAGTTAAGATGGCAGCTGACTAACTGCCCAAAAGAAAGGCTGAATGAACCAGGACTGCACAATTTGATACTCAGTATTTGAATCATACTGAGTGTCTAGCACCAGAGATAAGACAAGAAAGCAGTCTCCTCCTCTAGGAAATCAGAATCTATGTGATGAAAGAACATGCCAAGCAGTAGTCATCAAGAGACTATAAGATGTGGATGCCAGAAGACTGAAAGGCTGGAAAAGATCAGCACGGACAGATGCAATCAAGGGTTCACACAGAAGGAACAGCTCTGACCACAAAGGTATGACGATTGGACCACACATGAAGGACACCAGCTGAGTGAACAACGGGAACAGGTTAGAAAATGGGGAAAAACCCAAAGTTTTGAAATCTGGCTTCATTTAAAAAGCAACTAAAATCACTGTAGGTTTACTGATAGGGATCTCAAATGGAAGATTTCAGGGATACAAATCTACAAATAACACCCAAGGAGCCAATAACAAGTGAGAATTTCCTCATCATGCTAAAATGAAATCTTATGAGGGAAGGGCCTAAGGGCAATGCCAGTGGAAGCCAAACACCACAGCCAGTGTTTCAGAGAAAGAAAATCTTCGGAGTTCGAAGAAGCATCACTTCTTAACTAAAAAGCAGAAAGCAGTCAGAAAAATTTCTTAACCTGCAGTGGTGGGACTGGCAGAGCAAGTACCAGGGTCACAGTTTAGGAAGACAAGGAAGCATCCATGACTAAGGGACAAGGTTCCTGGTTCTGTCTACTGAGATTCAGAACAATGGAAAAGCTTCATAAAAGCACACAAGTAACAGGAACCAGAGGGCTAAGGGTGGTGACAGAGTGATCAGCACAGAGGACAGGAAGACTGAAGCTACTGAATTCACAAGCTCTTGGAGGAAGCTGCAGATCTGGACAGGGGACAACAGGAAGGATACTCTCCCAAAGCCAATCACTAAAGCAGGTGCAGCTATTTCCTTCTGCAGGACTCAAAAAGAGGTGTGGTACAATGTCAAGTCAAAAGTCACAGGAAGCTAGGCATGGTGCGTGGGCTTGTCATCCCATCTACTTGGAAGGCTGAAGCAGGGTCATAAGTTGAAGCCCTGCATGAAGAACATAGTAAGACCTTGTTTCAAAATAAAATAGAAAGGTCTAGGGATGTTGATCAGTGGTAGAGGACTTGCTTAGCATACACAAACCCCTGGGTTAAATTCCCAGTAGAGTAAAATAAAGAAATAAGATATACAGTACATCTTATTTATTTTACAGTATGCCACCTTTAAAAAGTAAAAAGTAGCTACAAATTCATGTGTTCTTGTAGATGCCTAAAGAAATACTGTAAGCATATAGAAGAAATTGCTATATGTAATTATTTGGGATTGGATGTCACTACAAATGGCGAAGAACCAAAACAATTTCACCCCCGCCCATAACAGCAATTAAAAAACTGCCAAAACTGTCAGAATCAATTTTTTAGTAATTCTGTAAGTCATTCAACTTGGGAATATTAAACAAGAAAAACAACTGGATTTCAACAAGGACAGTGAGCTCTATGGCTTCTTAATAATGTATCCTAGACCTACTACTGTCTCCTCAGCTCGTTGGTAACCTTGAAAAAATAAAGTAACAGCCCACATTTCCAGTACTGTAGTGGGAAGAACAGAGCTGAGGTTTCTTTGAAGCCTCAGTTCCAAGTAACAGGACCTGCTTGGGATTCCCTGGGGCAGCCCCATGGGAAGGTCTCTTAGTTTACATGGTAGGAAACTCTCTCAAGGCCTCCAGAGAGGAGAATCCTGTCAAACATTAGAAGCAATGCTTCAAAGTCACTGCTGCCAAAGCAATGGCAAACAACACACCAGAAAGAGGACAAGAAAACCTGAGTAATAAGATGTCCATGGGGCCTTGGAAAGTTGTGACCCGGGGGGCCACAGGCACATAATTTCACTGTCAAAAGCCAACGTACTAAAAGCAGCAAGGCACATGCAACTCCTCACACACAGATATCATCAGTAGGTACTAGCTCATTCCTCATCAGAAACCTGAGAGAGCAGAAAGGAGAAACTGCCAGCTAAGAATTTTAGGTTCAGCAATATCATCCTTCAAAAAGGAAGGAGAAATCAAGAGATTCCCAGATGAACAAAACCTGAGAGTTTTTGTTGCTAACACATCTGACTCACAGAAATGCTAAAGGGAGTTCTCAGGCTAAAAGAAAGAACACCAACAGTCATTCAAAAACTAAAAGATTTCACACAGATAATATGAGAAAACATAAATACAACATAAATTTTTGTTTGTAAATCTTTTGACCTGTTTAAAGATGATAACATAAAGCAATAATCATAAATCTGTATTGGACACTGCATAAAGATGCAATTTACAACAATAACAGCATAAAAAGAGGATAGCTATATGGAAAAGTCTCTAAATACTATCAAAATTAAACTGGTATTAGTCCAGTGAGATTGTTATAAATTGAGATGTTAGCCAGGCACAGTAGTGCACACCAGTAGAGCCAGCACTTGGAAGGATAAGGCAGGAGGGTGATGAGTTTGAGACCAGCCAGGGCTATATACCAAATATGAAGCCAGCCTTTGACTACATACTATGGCTCTTGTCTACAAAAAGAAACCCTAATAAACAAATAAATTTTAATTGTAATTCCCTGGATAAGCACTAAAAAAATCTCCATCATGTATAGTACAATAAAAAGATCAATAGGGGATGGTGGTGCATGCCTGGAACACCCTCAGAGGCTGAGGCAGAAGGAATGCAAGTAACCACAGACTTACGCAGACACTGTCTCAATATTAAATAAATTAATAAATAAAAAGAGCTGGGGATGCAGCACATTGTGAAGGTTCTGGGTTCAATCCTAAGTACCACAAAAATATATGAATGAATGAATGAATGAATCAGACAGACAGACAGACTAACCTGTATGTTGTTCTGTGTGCCTACTGGCAAGTTAAGAGTACTTTGGAGAAGGGGTATAAATGAGATATTTTCAGTTTAAACATTTAACGTAGCTTTGAGGTTTTTGAATTATATCAATATATGACCTAAAAAAACGTTTTTTGTTTACTGCCTTTTTAAAGTGTTTGTGGCCACAGGCTACCATTTGGCAAGAGAGGAAGCAAGAAAAAGTTTACAAGTAGTTAATAAACAGGAAGTCACCTCAGAGAGCAGTAGGACCCTGAGTGCTATGGAGAGCAGAGACCAAGGAAGCTGGCAAAGCTGGTCCCATTAGCTGGAATGTCCTTCCCTGACCCAGCAGAAGAAGCAGCAGCTCCCCACTGAAAGTTCTGGACACTCCTGAGGAGGTACCTTACTCTGCTTCTGCCTCAGCCTCAGTGCTCTGGGGAAGCACCTTGTTTACCCTAGCCTGCCTCACCTGGACAAGAGCTCTGAGGATGTACAGGCTCCACTGACCACGGCTCCTCCCCTTGTTCCAACAGGGAGATGACCTCAGGTTTGGCAATCTGATGTCCTACACGGGGAGGAAATTTGGATTTCTGTCAGTGCAGCTCTGGGGCAGCCCGAGAAAGCTTCCCTTTCCAGTCGGTTCCCACATGGGCAGCAGGCATTACAAGCATTAGCAATCCCATTCCTCAGCCTCAGAACTCAGGCCCAACCCTCCCACAGTGTCTCAGAGGTCACCCCAGTGGGACCAGCTTGTGTACCAGGCAGGGCCACCTCACCCACAGAGAGCAGGTGCCCGAAGGTCTCCAGCATCACATCACGGTACAGTGTCCTCTGCGTAGGGTCCAGCTGCCCCCACTCCTCCTGGGTGAAGTCCACGGCCACATCCCGGAAGGTCACTGGCTCCTAGAATTGCACAGGGTTCCCTCTCAGCCTGGGACACAGTAAGGCTGGAAGCCCCAGGCAGGGACGGGGGAGATGGAGGGAACACAGCCAGGGCTCACTGAGGACCTATGAGACCACGCTGGTTTGGATCCTGACCTGAACAAACCAACTGTAAGAAGTCATTCTGGAGACAAGTGAGGAAAACTGCATGTGGACTGGGAAACAGTACTGTCAATTGTGCTGGCTCTGACAAAGCTGTGATTGTGCCCTGAAAAATACATATCTGAGTGGGTCTGGTTTATCTGGCTCACAGTTCAGACATCTCCTGGTCAGTGGGCTCCACTGGTTCAGGTCTGCAGTGAGGCAGAAACCTCAAGGTAGGAGAGTGTGGTGGAAGCTGCTCACCTCGCAGAACTGGGAAGCAGAGAAGAGGGGAGGAGCCTGAGCTGCAGCCTCCCTTCTACTTTTGCTTCATAAGGGCCCCCATTCCTGCATAGTGCTGTCCACACACAGGGAAGACCCCCCGGTCCACTGTCCCTTAGGGCAGCCTTCTCTGGAAATACCCGCACACACCAGAAGTGTGCTTCACTAATGTCCTAGGCCAGTGACAGCAAACCTTATCCAATGACAACAAACATCCAGCTATGGCACATGTGCCATATGGTCATCATCAACACCATCCTAGGCATTTCCCCATCCAATCACATTGGCAGGAAGAACCATCACACGGTCTCCCACACACACAAAAAGGCTGTGCTGGAACAAATGAAAGGCAGCGAGCTGCAGCTGGCAGTTGCTAAAGCTGTGGGCAGAGATACTTGTAGAATGCTGAGAGACAGTGTCCACACCCTGACCCCCAAATCTGTGGCCTTGGCCTGAACAATAAGGACTTTACGAATGGGATCTGCTAAAGATGTCAATGTGGGAAGCTTATCCTGACCATGCAGGAGACCCAATGGAATCACAAAAGGAGGGACACAAGGATGGAAGCAAAAGTCTAAGCCATGTGCTTTCAAGATGGAGGAGGAGGTGTGCCCAGAAAGGAAGCAGTAAAAGCAACACAGCAGATTCTCGCCTGGTCCTCCAGCTGGGACACCACCCTGCAGACTCATCTGAAGACTTCTGAGTTTCCGAGCAAGAGAATAAAATGTTTGAAGCCATGAAGCCTGTGGTACTCTGTCACAGCAGCAATGGAAAACTAATACAGGGGTTATGTTCTACTGTGAGGTAAAAAACACTCCTAGATAAAAATTTAAAAAACAAAAGTAAACTAAAGAGATACCCTAGCCAGTGACAAGAACAGGCCAGCAGTGCCAGGATCACACATATCCCTGCCAGAACCACTGAGCTACTGGTAGAGTGGGGGCCCTCAGCCCCACAAGCCAGAAAGGCTGTGGCAGCACAAGCAGGCAGGGTAGACAAGGCTAAGAACCAGGGCTGAGGCAGATGAGTAAAAGGCACACGCAGCACAGGTCTGCCAACCCCCATGCATAACACAGGCAGCACTGCCCACAGCACTGCCCACCCCACTGCCCTGAGCCTGGGAAAAAGGGCCAGAGGCCTTCCAGACTCAGTAGTGTGGGAGCTTCTCAGGCTCTAGCCCAGCGTGGATGGGATGTAAAAGTGCTTGCCTTAGCATGCATGAGGCCCTTTTCCAATCCCTGATACTGAAAAGAAAAAAAAGATACGTATAATGAGAACTCAGGAAGAGTGGTATGGTGGTGGAAATATGATTGCCAAAGCATCTACCTTCTCCCCAAGAAAAGGACATGGAATACAGAGGGGAGCTCAGAGAAGACAGTTACCTCAGAAGGCCTGCCACCCAAAAGAAGGCAGAAAGAGAATACAAAGGAAGAGTTTTTTTTTTTTAAATACAGCACTCTCAAAATGACACAAAAACATTAGTCATAACCATATATTTGACATGTTTGACAAAACATATTGACATGTTTTTGACAAAACACATATTTGACAAAAACATATCACAAGATAAGCTATAAAATGGGGGAAGATAATCTGTATATGGCAAAGAATCAGAATCCAGAATGTATGTGAAATATCCACATACTAGCAAGCCAATCTAGAAATCTAAGGATTTCTAGTAAAAGAGAAAAGAGACACAAATAGCCAATAAAGATATCATAAGATATTCAACCTCACTAATAATCATGGATATTCCCATGAATATAATTCAATACACCTTCCTGGTCTCAAGGTAAGCAAACATTAAAACACAGTGTCAGTGCCATCAAGGATGCTGAGAAATGAGCGCTCTCTCCTAGTGGGGAAGAGACTGAATAAGGCTGTGCGCCTTTGGAGAGCCACGTGGCAGCACTAGTAATATTGAGAAAATACAGCAAAATGCTCTTCTGGGTCATGCCTATTCAATACACTTAACACATGTGCACCATGTGAAACCTCAAGAATGCCATACAGTTTGAGCTTGAACAAAAATGGGTCAGAGGACTTACACGCCCATCTAAAAAGTAAAGGAGGGACACAACACAGAGTGCCCTCTCCAGTGGGTACTACCAGGAGTGCAAAAGGAGGAATCTGGCCTACTCCATCTATCAACATGTAGACTGACCTCAAAATTGCATAAAGCCTTTTTTAAAAGCCACATGCAGGGCATAAATGTTAAAAGAAAAAAAAAAAAAACAGGCTCCGTGATAGTTTATGTACAAAAATGAAAATGAATTATATGTTCTCAATGAATCCATGATCAGCTGCTCTGATAAAGGGTAAGAAAAAAAAGCAATTAAGGATGACACAAAAAAGGAAAACAGCTGGATGCAGTGATACACACTGTGATAGCAGCTTCTCGGGAGCCTAACACATGACAACTGCAAATTTGAAGGCAGTTTCAGCAACTTAGAGATACTCAAAATTTAAAAAGATTCAGTGGTGCACCTTCATGGCAGTGACAGTCCTGGATCCATCAGACCCTAGCTTCAACCCCCTGTACCACCACCGTAACAATGATAAAGAAAAAGAAAACAAATATGATAGACTATTACCACTCATTCAGGAATGGGATGTGCTCAACTACTTTTTACTTTTCTGTGATTAAAGAATTGGTCAAAATAAAATTTAAAACAGCAGAAACACTTCCAGGATTTAAAAAGATGCCATCAAACTGGAAGGCCTATGGCCTGAAGAACAACAGCAAGATTCGCCATGCTAAGATCCATGAGGCCTCACCTGAGATCACAAGAAGAGGCCAAACACCTATCTAGACCTAAAATGGAAATAAAAAACCAAGAGGTTACAAGGAAAACGGAAGTCTCTGGAGACAAGAGGGACCCTCTGAGAGCAGGAAACACAAGCTTCTCTATCACTAGATCCTCCGGGGTGAGGAGGTACAGCCCCTGGGAGCAGCGCTGTCAAGGGTTCCACCAGCAACCCCCACACGCTGGACTCACATCTTCCAGTCAAATGTCCCACCCAATTCTACAAATGACCTCGCACATATCAGTGTCACACAGTATGCCTCTAGTCATTTAAAGAACTTCCTAAGACCTGCTTATACACCAGTCACACATTTAAACCCGCATGAGGACTGGAAGGCAGCCAAGGCCGAAAGTGCTGAGTGGGGTCTCACCTGATGGTCTGAGGTCCTTGACTATTGGGTGTATTATGGAATCTGGAGCAATTTCCAATGGCTTCTTAGGGTCAATTTCATTAATATTTTAATGCAGTTTCTTTACAGAGAACAAAAACTAGATCACCATGGAGTATGTCCAAGGATGTGTGTATTTGTGTTTTAGTGCGTATTTATTATACACAGATTCTTGGTGGATTATTACGGAGGGGTTTGAGGAGTATTTCCAAATTTTTGTGAAATGGGGTTTTTCACTCAAATGGGATATTATCACTATTATTATTTTCCCCTATTCCCTTAAAATAATAGGATCTGGGTTCCTCCTAGCTAAAACTTCACTACCTAATGTGTTTCCAAGGATGGAATATTCAGATAATGAGGAATGACAGCATTTTATATTTTTCCAAAAGAATGCTTTATTTCAATAAATATTTAACTTGGAAAGAACCATCAAGGGACAGAAGCTCATTTGTGTTCCTGCAGATACTGCTTAATTGAAAATTGACACAATTCAAGTGCAAGCTTCCCACAAGGGAAAATCCATAATGAATGTGGGGAGAGGGCCAGGACTGTGTTTTCAGAAATCACAACTCTTCAGACATTAGAAAGTGTTGTTATTTTAATTTTGTTTTATTTTCTCAGCATTAACTCTAATCATCCAGACACCTTCAAGTAAACTAGCAGCAGAGTGCAGCACCGTGGTTAACCAGGGTTCTTCATGGAGTTTGCTTACAGCTAATTTCTATTCCCACGTGACTAACACAGGGCGCACCTTTCAGCCTAGCCTAGCTAAAGCGCTGATTCTGTAAAATAACTACACAACACACAGCAGGAGCCTGTCTCAAGCTCTGAAGCCAGGAACCCATCCCTGCCTCACTCCTCTCAGGACTTCCGTTTCCTGGGGACAGCACATGTACAATGCAGCACTTCACCTGTCAGCTTTCAAACTGTACGAGGTTGTATTCATTTTTGTTTAATTTAGGGGGAAGCATAAAGTTAAGTAGAGATGTTATTTTTTAAAGTTTTTATTACAGTATGTCATAATTGCATGATTCCTTATTCTAACTTACAAAGAAAAGAACTAGGCACTCTTTTTCTTCACCTTTTGTAGCAGGAACTCAACAGAGCAAATGTAAATCTGACGAAATTAGAAAAAATGGATGTAAAGCCTCCCACTTAGAAGGATGTAGATAACCTTAAAATACTGAACACAAATTAAAAATGGCTGCACTTCCATCTAGAAAATAAAATCCTCATGCATACAACATGGCTAACCCTTAGAAACGTCATGCTAAGTGAAAGAAGCCAGACACAGACGGCCAGATGTTATGATTCCATTTACATGAAATGAACAAAACAGCCAAATACATAAAGTAGATTCATGGCTGCCAGAGGCTACATGAAGGGGAGCAGGGAGTGTCTACTAATGGAGGCAGGACTTCTCTGGGGAGTGGAAAAATGTTCTAAAATCAAATACTGTTGACAGATGTAAAATTCTGTGAACACATTAAAAATCAATGACCTGTACACATTCTAAAGGTAAAACATATGGTATGTGATTATCTCAGTAAAGCTACTACAGGAAGTTCCTGACTTACAAACATTCAAGTTGCAAACCTTCACTGGTGTGCTGTGTAAGACTCACTTTTGTCGGCTTACAAACAAATCTGACTTAGGAACAATCCTCCCAGAACAGAACTCATTTGTAAGTTGGGGACTCGCTTTATTAAGAAATTGTTTTTAAAGGGCTGTCTGTGGAGAGAAGGCTGTGCGGGGGAGGAAGGGGAGGACACCTGTTCTATCTCTCTGGAGCACCCCTGCACCTGTCCCAGATCAAAAGCCCTGCCTTGACTCTCGTATGTCTCTGATTTCTTCCCAGTCCCAATCAGACTGGAGCCTGAAAGGTCAGCAACTACCACAGCCCTCCTTCTCCACCCCCACCAGGAGCACCACACCACATCCTGGACCATGGCACCTCCCCTGCCAGCACGTCTTAGGATCCTTATCCCCACCAGGACGGAGCAAGGCCCTGCACCAGACATCTCCAGCCTGCAATCTACAGGGGCCAATCTTCACCCGGGTACTGGCCATGCCATGCACCCCACCCTCCAAAATACACCTGTGGTGCTGCAGGAGGCCAAACCCTTCTCACCAGGATGTGCCCATCTGGCTGGAATGACTCCTTCATCTCCTGGCTCAGGTCTCCCAGGCACCCCCCATCCACTGTGAACAGATCCCAGCAGCTGTGCCCTTCCTGACCTCTGTGCAGACTCCACCCCACCCCTGGTCTGAGCTGCTGCAGGGCTTGCGGCTTCCCTCCACATCTCAACATGCGCAGCCAGCTGCAAGGCATATTAGCTAAGCAAATGACTATGGAAGTGGGCTGGGTGGCTCCCAGGTTAAAGGCTAACACCTGTCTTCATTCCCTTCCCAGCACCCAAGTTCACCGCCCAACGTGAGCTTGAGACAGGTATTGAATGTGAAGGGTGAACATGGAAATAGGGGGCTTCCAGGCATGAGGGCAGTGTCCTTCAACGCCCAAAGGACCTAGGGCACAGCTATGGCCAGCATTGAGGACAGGCTGGTTGACAGCAAAGCTCTAGGTCCCGCAAAACTGACTGAATTCTCTCTGCCTGCACTCAGGAAGCACAAACCTCCAACTGAATCCTTCTCTGGCCCAACTCTTGCTGTTGTAAACCAAGAAACCACATCAACCAGGATGGCTAGGGACACCTGGACAACCATCCATGGGGAACACAATAGGCCCTGGGAAAGAGCAGAAGCCCCATCTCACCTGGACCTGGGCTGTTGGGAGCCCAGCTGCACTTCTCCCCTCACCATGCCACACAGGGTCCTGAGGATAGAGAGCTGGGAAACAAGAAAGAAGTCATGGAGGCAGCTACTTCTGCAAATCCCTACCCCACAAGCCCTCCCTCCTGGGTTGCTGAGGAACAGTCCTGGTCCTCTCCTTACAGAAAAAGAACCTACTTCCTCATTCTATAGACAAAGGTCAGGAACATACCTACCAGGTGAATCCCTTGCCCTGCACTATGAAGGCAATATCTATCTGTTCGTAGGCTTCTAGGGCCTAATCCCTGAATGGCCACACATTAACTCCCCTTCATCTAGTCATGGAGATAGTAGTATCACTATCACTTTCATCCCCCAGGGGAGTTTTTTGACCACTGCCTATTCCAACTCTGCACAGACGGATCTGGACCCCAAAACCCCTGCCCTAAAAATCCACCTGATCACCAGCTCTGGCAGATCACTGCAGGGAGAACACAGCAGCCCACATTGCAGGGACACGGGTTCTTGACTCACCCCAGGAGGCCCATGGATCAACTGCTGTCATCCCCCAGGACTGGTCCATAAGAGCACCTGCACAGAAGGATCAGGTTAGCACTGACACCAAACCTATTGATTGAAGGTGACAAAATGGAAAAGAAGACTGTCTCACTAATGGGTTATGACAAAGTTCCATAAACAGAGGCCAAGGGTATGTGAAAAATTCACCAGCAAATGCACAGGTGGACAAGTGTTAGGAAAGCTACTGACACCATGTTGTCAAAGGACAATAAAAGAGCCCTTTAAAATAGCGGAAAAGGTGTTTGGTAAAATGTAACAGCATCTAATTTTTATTAAAATGTATTAGCATGATACTCAATGTCCTTAATGATGAAAGCTCATTTAAAGATAGAGCACAACTAACATCCACTATCACTTAATTTTTACTTAAATTACAGATCAATACTATGTAAGTGAAAAACACTAGTAAAGGTAGAAAAATACACCACCAATAAAGGCAACACATTGTATGTGACTGCCTTCTAAGAAACCCCACCCATCATTGGAAAATCTCTTAGAGCTAATGATACTTTAAAGAAGCCATTTTTCAGGAGCCCAATATAAAATATACAAAAATTACAGTCTTTTATGGCAACAATTTTCCCTCTTAACGATCAATCATTGCTGTTTCTGCTTCCCAATCACTTCTAAGAGTATACTATGGCCAACACACCCTCCCTCATTCCCTAAAGCACTCCGCACCTCCCTCAGCCTAGGGAAGTCCTGGACAAAGAAGATTCCGACTTACCCCATGAGCTCCAGGGGTTGATGCCTGCCATCTTGAGGTCTGACCAACCAGGCTGCAGCCCAGAAGCACAGCAAGTGTCAACCTAAAGATCAAAGTGGAAAAGACAGAACTGGTCCTTTCTCCTATAAGATCCAAGAAGAGAACCCATCTACGGAAACAACAGAGACTCCCAGGAAGCTTTACACGAAAACATAATTTACATGTCAAAACATGCCAGAATTCTTGAAAAGAAATGAAGAGCAAAGTGAACAAAAAAGGGCACAATCCTGGGTGAGGGCGAAGACGTGTGCACCATCCACGGGCAACAGGGAGCCAATCAACTCAAACAGAAGCTACCAATGGGCCTGACAGAAACCACGTAACTACACCTGCCACGCTCATGCAATCGCGGTCCAGAACTGCGGTCAGGGAAGCGGGGAGCGACTGCTCCATGGAAGCAGGGGTTTTGGGGGGTTGTCGAAATTGTTCTGGCCTTAGACCCTGCCGACGGCTGCAACTAGACCATGAACTGCAGTGCGAAGTGGTTGCATGGTGGACGTGAGTGCATAAATATTATCTGAGAACACAGCACCTCTGAACTCCCAGCCGCCCGAGCAGGGGTCGAGCCCGGTACCTGTCGGTCCCCCGACGCAGCCTCCCCCGAGCTGCTCGGCCGCGGCACCGAGCACGGGGAGGGTACCGAGGCCAGC